TTATTATTATTATTATTATTATTATTATTATTATTATTATTATTATTATTAACTTTTTATTAACTCTGTATCCCAGCTGTATCCTGCTCCCTCATTCCCTCCCCATCCCTCCTTCCTTCCCTCATCTCCTCCCTTCCCCTTTCCAAGTCCACTGATAGGGGAGGACCTCCTCCCTTTCATATGACCCTGTTTTATCAGGTATCTTCAGGCCTGGCTGTAAAGTCCTCCTCTGTGGCCTAGCAGGGCTGCTCCTCCCTTGGGGGCTGGGGAGGGCAATGAACCTGCCATTGAGTTCCTGTCAGAAATAGTCCCTGTTCCCTTAGTAGGGAAAACCAATTGGTTACTGAGCTACCACAGGCTTCATCCGAGCAGAGGTTCCAGGTTATATCCATACATGGTCCTTGGTGGAGTGTCAGTCTCAGAAAAGACCCCTGTGCCCAGATATATTTTGTCCTTGTGGAACTCCTACCCTCACCAGGTCATACAAACTTCCCCTTCTTTCATATGATTCACTGCACTCTTCCAAAGGTTTGGTTATGAGTCTTAGTATCTGCTTTGATATACTGCTAAGTAGAGTCTTTTAGGGGCCCTCTGCGGTAGGCTCCTGTCCTGTTACTTGTTTTCTTCTACGTCCAATGCACATCCTATTTGTCTTTATAAGTGAGGATTGATCATCTTACCCCGGGTCCTCTTTCTTGTTTATCTTCTTTAGGTGTATAGATTTCAGTATGTTTATCATATCTTATTGGTCTATATAAGTGAGTATATACCATGTGTATATACCATGTGTGTCTTTCTCCTTCTGGAATAGGGATACCTCACTCAGAATGATCTTTTCTAGATCCCACCATTTGCCTGCAAATTTCATGATTTCCTCATTTTTGATTGCTGAGTAGTATTCCATTGTGTAAAAATACCACAATTTCTATCCATTCTTCCATTGATGGACATCTGCTGGTGGGATTGTAAACAGATACAACCACTTTGGAAGTCAATCTGGTACTTTCTCAGACAATTAGGATTAGTGCTTCCTCAAGACCCAGCTATACCAAGTACACAATAAGGACATTTGCTCAACCATGTTTGTAGCAGCTTTATTTGTAATAGCCATAATAAATCTTAAAAAAACAAATAGTTGAGCCATCTCTTCAGCCCTAATGGCACATTTCGTATTTAGTGTTTAAATCCATTTCATTTAAAGGACTAAGTAAAGTCAAGGCTATAATTAACCTTTAGTTACTTACAGTTAGTTTTTAAAGGCAAGCAGTATGTGCCAGTAAAGCAAAAAGAGTGCATATCTTGCTTTACAGACAGAGTCTCTTAACAGGGTCCTTCATCAGATTAGTGAGTGTCCTGATTTCAAGGTTAACTGGCAGCACAGGAATTCACCCACACTGATCCCACCCTGGAGGCATAAGCATATCATGGTATGAATGCTTTGGTTTTCTTCAGGAAATTACTTGCCAGCATTGCCATGTTGTATTCTGATTAATTAGCTTACTTTTGATAATATTGGTCACACCTAGGTTTGAAATCAGGGTTGGGTTTCTGTCCTCTGGAGAAAAGGACACAGAGGCTGAATTAACTCTCAGTGTAGGAGGAAAGTTACAAAGGATACTTCTTGGAAACCAGGCTTCAGGGGAGGACAGAGTGCACCATCTTTATGTCTTTTGAGACTTAAGTGATGCTTGGACCACTTAAGTCAAATAAGTGACTTAAGTGGACCACTGGTGATGCTTGCTAACTTCTGGCATCATGTTCTGATTAGACAACTAAAATGTGCTGCAAACAGGTAAGGAGAGTCTGTAAATTCTATAAAAAGATGGAGACAGCTTCAGAGGATCCCTCTTCATAAACAAAAGAAAACAACAACAAGATACTGAGAACTGATGTTTACTACCGTTTATTCATTCAATATTGGTTGATTGCTAAAATCTTTATTAGGCATGGAGTGTGCAAAGAAATGTCTTTATACAATTTTTGAAAACTTCAAGCCTCTCTATTGTGTTACTGCCCTCAAAATTTTAAGACAAATAGCTCAAAAACTTCTGGGTTGTGAGTAGTCCTGAGCAGAGAGAGCCCATAACTCCTGTCTGAGCCTCCTGCTACTCTAAAAGATAGATGGAGTTCTGAGGACATGTAAGATAAGAGAATAAGGCATAGAGCAATGTGCTCCCTTTGTTCCCTCCATTTAGATCTACTCCCTGGTTGCTAACCATGATTATCTTTCTGAAAACCTTCATCAATGGTATCCTTTACATAGCAGGGGTCTTGGCTTGTTTTCCTTCCCTATAAAAAATTAGCCTTGACTGGGCAATTTATTAATAGTTGGGGAGGGGAATTCATGCTGCATCAGTAATGATGCACACAGTGAAGCAGAACAAATGTTCTAGTCCTTGCCTTATAATGCCACCATTATTGTTCTGTGACTTTACCCACATATTCTCACCCAATCCCATTGAATTTCCAAAGCCCCTTCTAAGTAACATTAGCTAGCATGCAAATGTGGGAGGATTCTTTCTAGCACATAGACTTTGCAGTAAAATG